AAAGTTTGGGAATTGAAGTCTGCATGTCTGAAAGTTGTCAAGATTGAGAAACACTGAACTACAGAAAGAGTTTTCAATCCTTCTGTTACTTCCCTGAACGCAGCAAATGTTATGAGGCCAACAGTGTACCCAGGTCTTAAAACAATCACTCAGCATTTGCAGAGCAGGAATTTGATATCTATTAACCAATTTTACCCTTCGCCTTTATCTATTTCCTTGTATACCTTTACTGCTTCTTTTTGGCGCTTTCTTGGGGGTTATTTCAGACACCATTGGAATCTCATCAGGTTGTCCTCCTTCTTCCTCAATAGCCTGTTAGAAAGAGACAAAGTCAGCATGGTAAACAGAACAGTATTGAATTTGGCAGAAAATACCACAAAGGAAAAAGTGTAGTAAGCAGTGCTCCATCCATGATGGCCATTGACTTAGAAAAGAATAGAACCCTTTATTGGCCAAGTGTGATTGGACACACAAGGGATTTATCTACAGTGCATATGTGTACATACAAGCAACAAGAGATAAATCATTATCAGGCTCTTCCAGCTGACATCGCAGCAATATCGGACGCAGGAAAGGGGTCTCCACATTCCCCATGCTGAGCTCTCCCTGTTTGTAGGCTCCAAGAGGAGCCAAATCTGCTCTGTAGGGGCAGTAAAGCTAAGGAAGGGTGCCGAGAGAGGTCGTGGGAGGAATCACAACTCTCCTGCTGAACCCCGGGCTTTTTTCTCTCTATGCCACAGCAAGAAGAGGCAGCCTAAAGATGGCTGCCACAAAGCTGGGACAGCCGAGAAACATCTAAACATTGTACTGGTGCAGAGTCGGAGAACAGTGTCTGGAACTGGGTAAGCAGAATCTTTTTTATCTAAAACTCAACCCCAAAAGAATATCCAGGAAAAGAGAGGCTCACTGCTATTTTGAAAAGCAGCGATTTAACATTTTGAGGAGAATTTTAAAATTGAAGGAAAAAGAATCAAAATCTTTAAAAATACAGAAAATTGGTTCTTTAAATTGGGCAGGCATTGTTTTGGACAGGCATTTCAAAATGCTGGAACTATTTACTTAAAAAAACTAACATCAACTTTATATTTTGGATTGTTACCATTAACATTGGATAAAACTGGTTAATATTGAAATTCGACTTAAGAATGCCACCTGCTGACAAAAGGAAAGCATAACGCATTCCCCAAATCCTGGAAATACTTGGCTATTGGAGACTTAAATGTGAGAATAAAAAAAACATTATTATTAAAGTATGATTGGCATAAAAATAAAATATTGAAATATTTAATAATTAAATAATGAAAGATTATAATTCAACCAAAATATGTGTACTATTACCAGAACGTAGTAACTATGATGAATATTATTTTATTTGTACTAAAATGTAGATAGAAAGCGAATATTTGTAAATATAATAGACGCATAATTAAAAATTAGAATAGGTATGGAAACTAGACAGGGGGGGATTAATGGAATAAACATTTTTATATAAGGTGAAGTAATAACAAGAGGGGAAATTAGAACTTGAACGATGGTAGTATTAAGCATGTTTGAAAAATATGGTGATTGGCATAAAGATAACATTGAAATATTGAACAATTAAATAATGGAAGTTTATAATTTAACATAAATATGTGTATTATTATTAGATATGTCCGTTAAATGTAACAAATGATTGCTAATATTTTATTTGTAGTAAAAGGAATGACACTCAGAATATGGTGATTGGCATAAAAATAACATATTGAAATACTGAATAACTAAATAATGAAAGATTATAATTCAACCAAAATATGCACAATATTATCAGAACTATATAACCTTGTCAACTGTAATAAATATGAATATTATTTTATTTGTACTAAAATATAAGACACCCATGTGCCACACTGTTCAGGCATTGTTGTTTGTAAAAAATAAAAAAACTTAAATAAAAGAGAGATAAATCATTATCATAATCATAAAATACAATAATTATAAACCATAAAATACAAGACTCGGTGATAGATAGATGAGAAACCGTGTTTCTCCTAAAATAAGACAGGGTCTTATTGTCTTTTGACCCCCAAAATAAGCACTTGGCCTTATTTTCAGGGAGGTGTCAAGTGTGGTCATCTAATGGCTGCTGCTATGTTGCAATATTTCCGGGAAGGGCTTATTTTTGGGGGAGGGCTATTTTTAGCACATGCGCTCAAAAGTCCAATTAGACTTATTATCCAGGTAGGTCTTATTTTCGGGAAAACATGGTAAATAAAAGCAATCACCGTTATAGGTCTCAAAAATACATCACAGCAGGTTGTGTCCAAAATGTCTGTCTGCCTTACGCAGAGTTTATTATTTTTATACAGTTTTAACAAGCAGAATAAAGCATAGACAGCAACAGCATCGTTATTGGTTCATTCCCTCTTTATTTCCCTTGTCAATCTTGAAGACCATCCCAGCCAGATTGGAATCTTCACATAACACAACAGTTCCTGGTAGTACCTGCCTCCACTAATTAGGTGAGGTCACAGATGTTGAGGTAACCAATCACTGAGATCATGGCAGTTTGCTGCACATGTCTGTACATAACCTTTGTATAACCTCTACACACCGTAAGTCATAAGATACAAAGAACAAATAGTCATAAGATGCTAAAGGTAATAGGAAAGATGAGAAGAGTAATAGGAAACACAATCCCATTATGTGGTTTGACAACCCAGGCCAGCGATGCCAAACCTTTTTTGGCTCACATGCCATAAGTGGGGAGAGCACAGGGGGGTTGTGTGCAGGCATGCCGCACCCATGTGATGCGCGACACCCGCCCCAGTGCGCATGCGTGCATGACAGATGCCCCCCTCATTTTTTGCATGCTTTTTTCACCCTCCCCAAGCTCCAGGGGCTTTATAGGAGCCTGGGGAGGGTGAAAACAGCTTCCCCCACTCCCTGGAGGCCCTCCGGAGGCTTCAGGGACCTTCAGGAGGCTTCCCTGAAGGCTCCAGAGAGCAAAAAATGACCTTACAAGGGAACTGGAAGTCTGTTTCCAAACGTCCGCTTTGCCCATAGGGCTGTTTCTTTTGTGCTACGGAGGCTTCAGAGAATGCCTTTGGAGCCTGGGGAGGGCAAAAAATGGCTTTATAAAAGGCTGGACTCAGCTGACAGGGCAACGCATCGTTTACCTTGACAAATGGCTCCGCATGCCACCTATGGCATGCGTGCCATAGATTCGCCATCCCAGACCTAGGCCCTAGGTTGTGAAACTCGAATTCATTGAGGGCCATATCAGGGTTGTGTTTGATCTTGAGGAGCCAGGGTGGGTGTACCCAGCTCGACGTCACCCGTGTCAGAGAGACCTATTATAGCCCAAGCACTCTGCCAGCAAAAACAGGCTACCGAGCTCTGTTTTTGGCTGCGATGGCCTCCTGCAACCCTTTGCTAGCAAAAGGAGCTCGGGACGGCTGTACACAGCCCTCTCGAGCTCTGTGTTCGCTGGCAGAAGCAACGTGAGCCAGTCCTTCGCTGTTTGCAGGGTGGCCCCGTGGGGCAGATTTTAAGCACCCCATGGGCCAGATCCGGTCCCTGGGCTTTCAATTTGACACCTCCTGACCTAGGGTGTAAGATAAACGTTGTGGGAATTTTATCTCATGTCATATGGACAGAAAGAAAAAAGGCAGTGGCACTGAAGTGTGGCCTCTAGAAGTTCATAGAGAAAAGCCTGCATGACATTTTCTGCCTCTGAGGGACATGTGCAGCTGTCGTTGATTTGCAGAAGAGAAAGTCGGGACGAAGATGCATTTCTGCCCCAACCCAGCATGGCTCAGACTACAGGTAGCCAAAATTTATGTTGATTAAGTGAGACATTTGTTATGTGAGTTTTGCCTCCATTTTACGACCTTTCTTGCCCACATTTGTTAAGGGAATCACTGAAGTTGTTAAGTGTGTCACACGGCTGTTAAGCGAATCTGGCTTCCCCATTGACTTTGCTTGTTGGAAGGTCGCAAAAGGGTAATCACCTGACCCTGGGAAACTACAATCGTCATTAATGTGAGTCAGCCAGCGGTCAAGCATCCAAATGCAAATCATGTGACCCTAGGGATGCTGCAACAGTTATAAGTCACTTTTTTTTTAGTACTTCTGCAACTGTACAGTCACTAAAACAACTGTTGTAAGTCGAA